CATATAGTCAGCTGCACGAGACCCGCGCTGCCCCGCGGCCCCGTTCACATTTTCTAGGATGCCACACGGCCCCCTATTTCTAGGTGCTGTCCGCCGCCGAGGAACCGGCGCGGTTCCGCACGTAACACGCGCGCGCTGTAACCGCGCGTGTGTTTTTCGCCACGACGACGGTATCGTCATTCGCCCGTATTTTCGGCGCACGTTTAATGATAAATGCGGTCGTTTGTTCCACGCGTCAGGCCGACTTCGAACGCAGTTTGCGTATCAGACAAATAAATTTCGGAACCGTGGTTGCATAAGCGACAGCACGACAATAGATATTACACACCATAAATAATCGACGAGAGAATGACTGAGAATGATAAAACTGACAAATATTGAGAATTTTTCATCAACCTGCGACGGACATCCTGCGAAAATTTCCAAAGATTGATTTCTTTGTACGAAATTTATTTAATTTATATATATATATATATATATGTGTGTGTGTGTGTGTGTGTGTGCGCACGCGTTCGTCGTTCACGCCCACATTTATTTATGCGTTGCATGTGGCCGCAGCGATTTTTATGATGGTGTAGCGTGTGAATGGCTCGTTTGAGAGAGCGCGATGTCTTCTCATCGCCCGCGTTTTCTATCTCGTGACACTTGAATGCCGCGACGAGCGAGGAATCCTTTCGTTTAGAAGAGAAACGGCCGCTCTCGACGATGGGCGGTGTTCACCTTTTTTTTTTTACTCTCTTCCCCGCCGAAAACTGTTTCCGATTAATCTATATAATTTCCGTAATGACACGGTGTGTCACGCGCGGCCCGCTGGTGAATGGGCCCCCGTTCGCCATGCTCGTGAAACGCGAACGCGAATTTCGGCCAATTCATTCGACTGTGATTCAGCATAGAATTATGTTAGAACTTGTTATTATTGTTAAACGCGCGCGCGTGCAATAACGTCGTTGCTGTTAAGGACCGATGATGTCACGGTGAGTCGCTGAAGAGAACGTTGGCGCATCTCTTTTTCGGATTGAACAAAAAGAAATTTCCTAGAGACTACTGAACGAAAAAATCAACTAACGCGTTTCACTTGGAAGCGATCGTCATTAATACGAAACGCAGTTTCTTCGACTTCAATGAGCTTCTTGCTACAGGATGAGGTTCGAAGACAGTGTCATGGCTGATTCGTCTAATTTTAGTCACTCGTAGCTCTAATGACAAAAGCAAAAGAGCAAAAAAATTATTCTGATTTTTATCGTACAGCCGCATTATACGGGATATTTGCATGCCGAATGGCAAATATTCGATTATTTTTATTCTTTCCACGTCACAAAAAATTTTTGAAAAATGCACATTATCATGCACCATTTCATAGGATGACATATCTGTATAGTATATACATTTTTACATCAGATTTGAAACGTGATAATATTTAATTATTTAGACAGAAGAAAAATTAGAACTTTGAAATCAAAGTTTGAAATCAAGACTATATTTTCATTTATAATCAAGACTAAGATTTTTAGAGAAGATTATAATATTCTTAATTATATATGAAAACATTTTTCTAATTTAAGATTAATTTTTTTTGTGTACTTCTTTTTTTCGCAGGGATTCTCGGGGATATTTCTCTTAAATGTCTAGCATTGGTTATTACTTGGTTAATAACAATTCAACAGAAAATGACATTATTTTAATACGTTTATATATTACGAAGCAAAAAAACTATCAAATGTGATAAAAAAATTCAAATTAAACTTTCAGATTTGGCATAATAGAAAATATGCGAGCGACGTTAAAAACACGCGTGACAAAGAAGAAGTTTGCTAGCCGCGATCGGTTGTGCGCGTTCGCGCGTAGCGAAAAGGCCGAACCGGCGGTTGTCATAAATGGTACTTTGGGCGCAAGTTAATCGGGCTGGATGGGAAGTGTATTAGAGCCCGCGGAGCCCGAGATTTGGCCTTGCACGCGCCAACAATCTCGAAGGCATTGGCCTAATGCTCCATCATGAAGCGTCCGCCTTGAGTCTGAACTTTGTTTTCTTCTTGCCGACTAATGGCGAAGCGCGGCTGCGCGCGGGCACAAAAACTATACATGTATATGAGAGGAAAAAAGAGAGAGAGAGAGAGAGAGAGAGTGTGTGTGTGTGTGTGTGTGTGTGTGTGTGTGTGTGTATGCTAAGAAAGAGAAGGAAAAAAGAAGCTAGATTACGCAATCTGCATTCACGCTTTCTTCCACGAAGGTTTCGTCGCGATATTACACGCGGTATTACATTCGTAGAACACTATGATTAGCTCATAGGTTTACATATCAATTAAATTAAGCAATCATGAAAAAATTCTATCTTCGTTAAAAAAAAAAATTATCTTTCCTTACGCTGTTTTGCTGTTTTGTAATACTGATCTATGTCATAATGAAATAATTTTTATGCGAAATATCTTTTTCTTGTATCTATTAATATTTTAATTCCCGCGTTATGTATGTAGAAGTAACGCTTGTATTTTTTGAAAACTATGATACTTGCACTATGATACTTATAAATATAAACATGCGCATTTATGAATAAAAAAAATTTTGCGCAAATACGAGTAATACGATCCGCGTATGATCGCAGGATTTATCAATCAAATTAAATTTGTTAAACGAAAGATTTTTTCAAATTTAAATTTATTAAACGGAGATTTCTATTTTTCCAGCCAAGAAATTGAAGTGTCCCTTCTGCGAGAGACTGTATGGCTACGAGACGAATCTGCGCGCCCACGTGCGGCAACGTCACCAGGTAGGGTTGCCATTCGTCCTCTTTTCCCCGGGATACTATCCTCTTTTTTAGGACGTCCGGGGACGTCCGGGAGGATTTTTTGAAAGCGTCGTTCGGGATCCTATCCCGCTTATAATCCGGGATAGGATTACAAGCGTCCGGGGTTTCAAGAAATCTTCTAAATATTTTGTTTTGATTCCTCTCGCATTATTCCTTTGCATTACCGAATAGCACAGATATCACATAAAAGAATTAAAATTTTTAATTTTAATACCTAATAAAACTTAAACTAAACCTATAATAAAACTTTTTATTTTAAATCAAAATAGTCTGTATTTATTTAATATTCAGTTCAAATTTCTCTTTGCTCCGAATGCTAATAAACAATTAGATGTGAAATAATGATTCATTTACTGTTCTGATCAATTTTATTAATTTAAGCGTATTTTTGTCCGGGGTTGCAAATGTCCGAGGTTTTTGGCTTGTAAGTCCTAGTTTTGAAAATTTTAATATGGTAACCCTATCACCAGGGCATCAGGGTGCCGTGTCCGTTTTGCTCGCGAACGTTCACCAGGAACAACACCGTCAGGCGGCACATCGCGCGGGAGCACAAGACCGAGACGAGCCTGAAGGCCTTCCATGAGCAGTCCAACCATTCGGTTTCGGACACCGTGTCCCAGTAACAACGTCTTCGGCGTCGCTGTCGTCCTCGCCGTCGCCACCGCGGTCGCCGTCGCGGCCCGCGCGCAGTGGTACCGGAAGCAACGATCCCGGTGACCATTTCGCCAGAGCCGGCCGCGAGACCGAGCCGCGGTTAGAGCATACGAGACGAGAGGAGAGGCTGCAGTTAGGTACCTTCGTTTACCCTTCGTCGTCGTCAGCGAACGCCGTCCCGGTTCCTTGTCGCGCGAGGGCGATATCGCAACGCGTGCGCGCGCGCCTGGAATCGCCGAGAAATCGTAAGCACGAGGGGCACGACCATGAAGATTCGTACGGTGGAAGAGACATGGAAGATGACACAGAAGAGGCATGGAACACAACGATGCGCATGGCGCCTCGGGCCACGCTCGCGAAAACGCTGCGAATCACAAAGCTAGTCAATGAAAGTGCAACGGTCAAGTAAGAATTATTAACTAGGAGCTTTTTAAACGAGGCGAGAGATGTAGCGAGAACTCTGAGCGGCGAATGGCGCATA